TTTTTCTCAAGCTGCTCTCAGGATTCTTTCCTTGTTTTGGTTTTGAAATTTTCCATTATAGTATGATGTTGTTGTTAAGTGCCATTGAGTTGATTTCAATTCATAGCAACCCTATTTAAGGTTTCCAAGGAGTGACTGGTGAGTTTGAACCACTGACCTTTCAGTTCAAACCAATCTTATGATCGAGTGCTTTTCCTACAGTACTACAGCAGGACTCTAGAAATTTTCCTAAACCTAGAAAAAATGCATCTGGAATAAAATTCTTAGATGCCTACAGAGATGAGCAAGTATGACTACTTGGACTACAGAATGTTGAGAGATTCAAGAACAGAGCTCACCTGCTTGAAGAGACCATGATCTGGTCCTCACCTACTGGCTCATTGCTACTAGTTCAAAGAGACATACCTTAGTGTAAAGTCAATTCTTCTTTTCCCCATGTTTTGCTTCAATTCTGGTTAAAAATCATCAGGCTATTGACCTTGCAAAGCTCTACCAAGAAAACCATTTAGGGCGATGGTGGAACAAGGTGATGAATCCATTTAATGTTACTGAATAATACATATGCAGATTGTTGAAGTTCTTTGTTACCTATACGTTTTCCACCATAACTGATTAATAAGACCATTCCTCTTAGTGTCTTTGCAAAGCAGAGCAAACACAGGAGAACTGAACTATTTGTAGTTACTCCAGCTTCCTTCCACAGCAAGGATGACTGGAAAGGGAGATTTGCAGCATAATGGTTTCATGCTTGGCTGCTAACTGAAAGGTCAGTAGTTTGAACCCACTATCAGCTCTGCAGGAGAAAAGACCTAGAGGTCTTCTCACATAATGAAGAAAGCCCAGGAAACTCTATGGGGAATTAACTCAATGACACATAACATTAACAGTCTTCCTGGCTTCCACAGTTCTTGATTACTCTCACAATATGATTTTTTAAATGTATGTGGCTTTTAAAATACTTTCATGAGGTGCAGTCATCTGCTGAAATATATTCTTTCTACTTGGAAGTGTAATTGACTTTTTGATCCTTAATTAATTATTAACATTCCACTTGTGTGGCCTAAGAGTAAATAAACCTCTGGTGAAAGATACATGTCTAAAGATCACTGACTTTTAAACTCATATTTTTATGACAGTTTGCGGACCTACTTTCTAAAGTTATGGATTGAATTGTGACAGGATTTGGTACTGGCAGATGGGGTTGCTGCTCAGACAGACAGCTAAAATGTGGAAATGGTTTGGGACCTGGGTAATGGGTAGACTTTGGAGGAATTTTGATGTGCTTTATAATAAGACCCACATTCTGCCTTGAAGATACCATTGGCAGATAGACAGATGTTAAAGGCAAGATTGATGAGCATTCAGAAGGAATTGAGAGCTTACATTAGAGCTTTTATTGTCACGGATTGTGGCTATTAAATGGGCTTCTGAAGAGACTTTAGAAGGACATAATGAACAAGTGTTTGGAAATTGGTGAAGAAATGATACTTATTTTTCAGTTGTAAAGAAATTGTCTGAATTATGTTCAAATGTTCAGGAGAAGGTAGAATTTGTAAATGATGAATTTGGATATTTGGCTGAGGAGGTTTCTAAGTAAGATCTTAAAAGGGTCGCATGGTTTTCTCTTGTTGCTCATAGTAAAATGTCAGAGGAAAGAGATAGACTTAAAAATGGTGCAGAATGCAACTAGAACTTAAAGATTTGGACATTTTTCTTGTAAAAACTAGGAAAGCTGCCAAGATCCAAGTTCATTGTTTACAAATTCTGTCTTCTTCTGAACATTTGAACATAAGACCATACAGTCTTTTGCTAAAGGTTGTCTCTGATGTCGTTAGATATCACTGAGCCAGTTCCTACTCATAAGGACTCTACACACAGCAGAAGGAAGCAGTACAGGTCCTGGGGCACCCTCACAATTGGTGTTATGCTTGAGTCTATTGTGGTTGTCACTGTGCTAATCCATCTCATTGGGAGTCTCCCTCTTTTTTGCTAACCTTCTACTTTACCAAGCATGATGTCCTTCTCCAGGGACTTGTCCCTCTGGATAACTTGTGTGAAGCATGAGAGATGAAGTCTGGCCATCCTGGCTTCTAAGAAGTATTCTTGTTGTACTTCTTCCAACACAGACTTGTTTGTTCTTCAACAGTTTGTGGCACTTTCAATATTATTCTCTAATACCATAACTCAAATGCATCAATTCTTGTACAGTCTTCCTTATTCAAGCCCTGAGATAGATGAATGGCCCTAAAGCAGAAAAACTATCAGCTTAAACTGAAAGAGACCAAGAAAGGATGAAATAAAAGAAGAAAGCTGTCAGTCTTTTGGAATTCTATAGGTAGGAAACAGGCCATCTGTTGTCCTTCAAGAAGAGAAAAGGCCCATCCCAAAAGGAGTTCAGAAATCAGCAGTATGTTGGAAAGACAAATGCAGGCAGAATTACAGGCAGAGTGGAACCACTGTCTCTGTTTCAAAGGGTGGAAAATCTGCTTCCTAGGTTTAGAGTCCAATCTCCATCACTTTGGTTCCAGCATACGTGCCTGCCCAAGGTGGGAGAGTGGGGCTGCCATACCCAAAGGCCAGAAGGATGGAACCTTTGACCAAAGTTAAGAGGTAGGTTTGTCATATCCAAGGGCCAGGAGAACAGATCTACCCAGTACAGTGAAAGTGAAGTCAGCACTCAAGTGAACCAGAAAAATTAGGCTTCTCAAAGCTCAGAGAGCTAATTTGCTATCTCATTGAGCTGATACAGAGGGCCAAGAGGCCTCCACCCAGAATACAGAGTGTGGCCAACACCCAGAGCCTGGAGGATGTAGACATTACTCAGAGTTCCAGAGAACAAAGGATTATTTTCAAGACTTGAGAGCTAATGAAATTTGCTTTGCTGGGCTGTGGACTTACTTAATGCCAATGATTTCTCCCACTTGGAATAAGACTGTCTACACTGTGCCTGTTCCACCATTGCACTTTGGAAACATATGACTAGTGTTCTAGGTTTCACAGATTCAAGGATGGAAAGATGTTTCCCCCCATGATAAAACATACCCAGATTTGTGCTCCAGAAATATATGATGATACAGAAGATGAGGGTTTTTTGTTTGTTTGTTTGTTTTGTGGGGTTTTTTTTTTGTAATTTAAGGTTTTTATTGTAGATTGAGTGAAAGTTTACAGGGTGCATCATCAGTTTCACATTCAACCATTCATATAACTTGTTTAATTACATTGATTATAATCTCCTCCATATACCACCAGTTAACAGTGTTTCTCTCTATCCTCTTTAGCTTTTTTGCCGTGGCTGGGGGAACTTTGCCTTTTTGGACTTTACCGTCTTGGCTTCTAGGGAAGGTTTTTACATTTATCTGTGGATATCCAGGGCTCATGTATGAGATTACTAGCAAGCATACTGAATAATCAGATGAGGGCCAGTTTGCTATGTCTGCTAGGTGACCAAAGTCTGATCCTCAGAGCCTATGGTTTGGATGGTCTGCAACACTTGGGCCCACAGGGTCTTGAGCTCCTGACCAGGTCTGCACTGTCTGCCACAGATTCCCCTTATTTATTATTTGTTTAAGGGACGCTGCCTGTCTTAGGCGGTCAGTGCGAATTCCTCCGTCTTACCCGTCATCGAAACTCATTGCAGCATGGCAATGGCTCGGTCTTAGGTTGCCGAGGTTCCACGTGATCCTTACCCGTCTCTGGCCACACGTCCAGCATAAACAGCCACCATCCGAAGAAGGCAGGGAGGGAGGAGACCGGGTGGGGACCCCAAAGATGAGGTTTTGAACATAGAGTTTATTGAGAATATTGGGGATGATTTGGCAGGGTGAATGGAACCTTGCTTGGGGAAGGACATGAATTTTGTAGAATCAAATGGTGGAATGTTATGGATCAAACTGTGCTCTGCAAAATATGTGTTATGAATCCTACACGTTATACAGGTGAATGTCATTTCATTTGGGAAGATGGTGTTCTCTGCTATGTTATTGAGGTTGTATCAGTATAGGGTGTGCATTAAGTCAAACAGTTTTGAGATATAAAAAGGAATAAGGATTGAAGCAACCAAGCATGAATGGACAAAAGAGATGCCACCTACAGATCTTGAAGCAATAATGAGAAGAAAGTTACAGAAACTGAGACAAGGATTTTACTCCAGAGCAAAGAGGGCTTTCCCCTACAATCAGTGCCCTGAATTTGAACTTCTAGTCTCCTAAAGGGTGAGAAAATAATTTTCTGTTTCTTTAAGTCATCTACTTTTGGAATTTCTGTTATAGCAGATCTAAGAAACAAAGACCCATCAAATTTCAACTATTCATAACTTTATGTGTCTTTTAGAAAAATTTCTACAACTCTTAAAGATACTTGCTTTTCTAACTGTATTATGGAGTGCCGTGGAGTTAGTTCTGACTCATAATGACCCTGTACAGTGTTTCTGAGGCTGTAAATCTTTACAGGAGCAGAAAGCTTATTATAGACTGTCAAATTACAATGATGTTGCTGAGAATAATCAAATCATTTTTCTGATATAATCAAGATAGAAATGGAACTTTTCCCCAGTCTCAATTAGTCGGCAGCTTCCAGCTGACTTTGATTTTCTGTCATACCTACCCACCTCTTAGTTCCTTGTTATTGTTGTCTGCCATCAAGGTGGTTCTGATTCATAGAACTCCTGTATAGAGTTTCCTAGAGAGCAGCTGGTGGATGTCAACTGCTGACCTTGGGCTTAGTAATCCAGTGCTTATCCTGCAGTGCTAAACCAGGACTCATTTCCTAAGACATGGTAAAATACTAGAAATGTGATGGGCTTCCCGTAAGTAATTGTTGACCATTTAATGAATTTGTCATTTTTTTACTTTTAGAGTTACATTCACATTTATTAATTGGACTATTCTTAATATTTCTCATTCAATGGTCCTGAGGGAAAACATGCTGAAGAGAGGGGTTAAGGGGCAGTTTTTGTTCTGACAATTAAACTCATTTGAGAAATTCAATTGTACTGTTACTCCTTAGGTTGTACAGTTTTCATAGAGTAAATACCCAAAGAACACACTTTGAATCAATCCTTTCTTAGTCTCAGCTGTGTCTAGCTTAGATTCCAGCCAGACCTTATCTTCTATCATCAGTTGCAAGATGGCAGTTTCAGAAACATGCTTGTAACTGTACTTGGCCCTGGCTTCCTTCTCGAGGACTTGGATGCCGTTCTTCATGAGTCCCAACTTCACAGGATGCTGGAATAGCTCAATGTCAAAGCCAAAGTGGTACACACCAGCGTTTCTGCAGGTGAACATCCCGGTGGTTAGATTGAAGTCATTCTGAAGGTTATGGAGGATGTCCTTGAAGACAATGGGATGGAAAGGTACTGGAAAGGGATCACTCAGTTTCACTGCAAAAGCAGATTTTGAACTGGAAGGGCACTCGTTAATGTCTCCGCGACGCCCTGGTGGACCTGGTGGTCCAGTTATACCTGGCATTCCTAAGCACCAAAGTAGTAACAAAAGGAAGAAAGAGGTGATTTGAAGTTGATGTGTTTTATATTAATATCTTTTCATTTTACTGCTTCTTACCAATTTTCACTTGCCCTTCCATGATTATCTTAAGCATCACAAAAACAAACAAACAAACCAGGAAGTCTTTTTTGTCTTATTCATACTTAGTAAATTTCCCTCTGTGCCATAGTAATAACACTGAATAATTGCTTGAACTGCTTCTTCAAACTTATTATATGTATATATGGTTATATATTTTCATGATCAGAAACTTAGCAATTAAGGACTATCATTGTGTTGTTGTTGTTGTTAAGTGTTAATAGAGTCAGTTCCCACTCATTGCAAACCTATTTAGGGTTTCTGAGGAGTGACTGGTGAGTATGAACCACTGACCTTGCAGTCCAGAATATTAACCCGCAGAGCCACACTAGGACTATTCTAGTGAAATACTAATGCAGATGAATCCAGGAGTTATATAATATCAGGGATAAAAGGTTTAGTGCAATGTTTCTCCAACTGGACTGTACATTAGAATCATGTGATGGCTTGGGATATAATACAGGGACCAGTCAAAGATGTCACTTTGAAAACTGAGGAGTGCCTGACTCAAGCCAATATATTGTCAGTCACTTCATGTGTATGCAAAAGCTGAACAATGAATATGGAAGATTATTGATGCATCTGAATTACGGTGTTGGGAAAGTATATTGAATATACCATGGACTGCCAGAAGAAGAAACAAATTTGTCTTGGAAGAAATATAACCAGACTGTTTCTAAGAAAAAGGATGATGAGACTTTGTCTCACATACTTTAGACGTGTTATTAAGGGAGACTGGTCCCTGGAGAATAACATCATGCATAGCACAGGATGAGTGAACAGGAGGAAGACCCTCAAAGAGATTGAAAGACACAGTGGTTACAACAATAGGCTCAAACATAGCGAGCATTGTGAGAATGGTACAGCACCTGGCAGTGTTGTGTTCTGTTGTACATAGGGTGACCATGAGTCAGAAGCAGCTCAGTGGCACTCACAACAACAATACATGAACTTGGTCAATAAAATAATAATGCAGCAAGCTTCTGAATCAAAATTTACAAGGGATGACTCAGATTTTTACCAAGATCCACAGATAATTCTGATGCATAGTCAGGTTTAGGGTTCACTGATGAAGGATCAAATTGGTGATTTGGTTTCAGTGTTAAAAATAAAATTGTGATTGAGTCAATTAGAGTTAACAGGGTTTATTGAGTGAGAAACTGCTCACAAACAGGGAATGCCCACACTGAGGAAGCTTGAGTTTACACAGCTGAAGCTTAGAAGAGAAAATATCTTGCCCTTTGTTTGATTGGGTCATTGCATGTAATTTTCCTTTTTTTTGAAAAAGTTGGTTACTGAACACTAAGCGAGTTTATCTTGGTTGAATGAGTGTTGCTAATTCATGCTAATGTGGT